TTCTGTGGCACAGCGCCTGTCTGGCAAGTGCAAGGTCCTGAGTTTGTCTCTGGTACCTGAAAAAAAAAAAAAAGAAAAGAAAGAAAGGAAAAGAAAGAAAGAAAGAAAAAAAAAAAGTCCACAACTCACATTCCACAAACTTTCTCTTGCCTGGGCTCTTGAACAGTAAAACGCGTCTGAGGCGTTTCGAGTACATTAGCGCCCTCTAGTGACAAAGCACCTAAAGCAAAGATGCTGAACAAAGTCAAAAATGTCTACACACGAGACTAAGAAAAGAAACGGTAAGGAAATTAATTTATAACTGTACAGAGGGGCTTCAGCGTGGATGTGTGAGAAGCTCTTATCCTGGAAAGGTGCAATCTTATGAAGCCAGAGTGGAGACACACGGAGTTAGGCATGTGAACCTCAGGACTTGGAAATGGGAGAAAATGTCTCGTGTTCTGCTTGTTGAAGTCCACGCCTCTGCAGCTGCCCCCTTTCTAATGGGCACTAACACGCCATAGGAACCAGCGTCCAGCCCATGATAGAGTCCCTTCCTTCTATTCTCTGTATTTTTAGCTCAAAGAAGACATGGCTGTGCAGTGTTGGGGATAAACTGCTGGCCCGGAAGTACACAGAGGGCTGATGGGTCTGGCTGACTCAGAATCAAGACGCTTGCTATCTTTTGAAGACGCGGCACCCACCAGAGACATCACTTTTGGTGTAATTCTCAACACCACAAGGGAAATGGACCAGCCGTGGCTCCAGCCCATCTTGTTGCACCAGAACATTCTTTTGTGGTCTGTCCTACAAGCGTCCCTGGAAAACTTTCGCTCCCATCTTTTGGACCAGGTATCTTGGGGGCTGGGTTAATTTTGTGTCCACAGTGCCTGTGAGTAAGGAACAGAGGAAGGAAAATAGGGGCTTTTGGAAGCTGTGTAAGGGAGCAATTGTGTCCCCAGGCCTAGAAATATGCAGACAGTTTGCCACCAACCTCCAAACAGGACCAACGCTCGGAACTCACCTGCTCCCAGGAAACGAAGCACCAAGCCACGGAGAGGCCTGACTCCCATATGGCTGTACTGAAGAACGAGCTAGTCTTCTCGGGCTGCAGGTTGGCTATGATACCACTGTTCCTGCCCATGCTCGGGAGCCCTGGTCATGATCTACACTACAGTCTGGTGGTGCTGGGGAGTAAGGGAGATGGCGGAAGACTGTGTGTGTGTGTGTGTGTGTGTGTGTGTGTGGCACATTTGTGTGCCTGGGGTTGATCATGTGTATGTCCTTAAGTACAGATAAGTGCATTAAAAACATTTATTGTTAGCTATTTCTCTTGCAGTGCTGCCACTTGATTTTCCTCGGAGTAGGTGCCTAGAGGAAGCCAGTGGACAACACGTTAATTCCTCTTACAGCGCCCCTTTCTTTCCCTCGCTGCTGCACTGGTGGCGGCGATAGCGAAGGTGTAAATGTCCACGCGTGTAGGCTCCCTGCACCAACAGTGAGGCCCTGGGCAAGGTCAGCGCAGGGTGCAGGCAATCAAGGACATGTCATCATAAAGAATTTCCGTGACTGACTCTGTTCCACATAATGCAAAGCACGTCCAAGTGGAGCAGAGACAAGGGGCATCTGGAGAAAGGAGGGGTGCTGTCGGTAGAAGGCTTCAGTAGGGTGAGTGCTCCGGAGCTGCCACCCAACAGAGTGCCTGCAGTGAACAATAAAGTACAATTAAAATTTTGTGGCACTAGGTGGCTAGTTTTCCCATGAGCTAAATATCCTCATCGCGATAAACAAAAGAACATTTGAAGCAGGTGACTGTGGGGCACTTTGAGGGTCGATGCGTCGAATACAGATGTCACTGTGCGGCTCCTGTTTTCCCAAGAGATTTTCTTGTAGTTCCTGTTCTTATATCGACTATTTACTTTTCCTAATGATGTGAATCCATGTTTCCTAATGTGTCCATATTTCTTATATGAAATGTTTACTGTCTGAAATACTAACCAGTCATGGGCATGATGTAGTTTTTAGGCTTTCTGTAATCATATAAAACAATTATGGTAGAGCC